TGTAGCATTCACTAGTTTAGAAAATTGTTCGGCAATTGGGCAACTTTTTAAAACCGAAAGCTACCATTTCTTGGAGTATAAAATTTAAAGAAGGCGTAATTTGCTATAAAAAAGTACAAGAAATAATCTTTTCGCACATGTTTTCATAATTTTTACCAAAAGAGTACAAGAAATAAATTTTTTCGTGCATGTTTTCCAAAATTTAAAGAAGGCGTAATTTGCTATCATACATGTACAAGAAACAATTTTTTCGTCCATGTTTTCTGTGAACATAATTTGCAATCAAACAAGTACAAAAAATAATTTTCTCGTGCATGTTTTCCATAAAGTATATTTTGAATTTATAAAGGCAGTCAAAATCAATGATAAAAAGGCATACAACTTAAGTAGTCGTGAATTTATAAAGGCAGTCAAAATCAATGATAAAAAGGCATACTACTTAAGTAAAATTTATAAAGGCAGTCAAAATCAATTATAAAAAGGCATACTACTTAAGTAGCAAATAATTTTTTCGTGCATGTTTTCCATAAAATATATTTGAATTTATAAAGTTGTCAAAATCAATGATAAAAAGGCATACTACTTAAGTTGTCAGTTTTTACAATATGATAAAAAGGCATACTACTTAAGTAGTCAGTTTTTACAATAGATACGTTTTCGTAGGAGCTATAAAAAGGCATACTACTTAAGTAGTCAGTTTTTACAATATATACGTTTTGCCAGGAGTCGGAACGAAGCTCGTTAAAAAGCCGGCTTTATCTCCTGACTGAAATGACTTCAGAATACACTACATGATAATCAGTATCACAACTGGTGTCAATTCCGATTAGCGAAAGAGTATTAGTCTTTCGCATATGTCGAAATATTGCATAATCAACGGCGTCTACTGTGCATGCTGCCCGATCATCTCACAAAGCCAGGGTGCCAACACAGGATTTGTATATTTCAGCGGGAATCCCATCTTCTCTTGACGCCTTGTTGTTGCGCAACCTCTGTATTTCATCGGCAACTTCGTCTCTAGAAGGGAGGTCACACGACACCGCATATGCTGGGGAGGGGAGAGACTCCGCTGCCGAAGAGATGGTGTGATGGGTTCTTCAAAAAAAGTTCAGGAGGTGCTCGAAGTGTTGAGGCCAGCGATCGACCTCAACCGAGTTGTCAGCAGTAAAGCCGCCATTCACATCGTGAAAGGAATCACAGTGCCGAGGGCTTGCTACTTAGTTGGCGGATAATTGGGTAGAGTTTTCGCGTGTCACCAACATTTCATGCCTGCTCCATGGACGTCACTAGTTCGAACCAAGGCTTCTGCAGATCATTCCTAGCCGACTTTGCCGTGAGCTTTGGATGTTGGCGGAAAGAAGTATCTCTGAAGGACCTGGCTCGAACCTTCTGGACAGAGAGCTGCAGGGTCCTTCCGTTGATCTAGTCACTGCGACACCACTGAGTGAATCCGATGAGTTTCTCAGCTACCCCATAGACGGATTTCTTCGGTGATGCCTTTTTGCTACTGCCTTCGTCATTGGCTTGGATCGTAAGACGTGGCCGGACTTCTGTGATTAGGTCCTCGGTAGTTCTGGGTTACCGAAGTTTTGCGACATCAAGGTGTCTCGCATTAAATAAATTTGTGAGCAGATGAGAGGTGAACCTTCAGGCGTGTGCAAACGAGAATATGGTCAGACCCGTGGACGTTACCAGTTTCTGCATCCCACATCGACCTGCTATCGTGGACCCAACTGCGAAACCTTGAACCAATTAGAACGTAATCAATCAGATTAGTAGGTGTTTATGACGATGCTAAAAGCATGTGTTGGTGACAAACAGTCGGTCCGGATCAGCGCAATGCAGCATCTTTTCACCATTGTCGGATTGAGAGCCAAGCCCAAAACGACCAACGAGATGACTGAAGCGTCACCGGACCCAGTCTGGTCATTCCAGCTTCTGGCTTCAATCAGCAGATCACGGTGAGAGATTCTTTTAACTAGCTTCTGTAGTTACGAGTAGATGTTCTCCTTATCTTGCTGTTCACCAGCTGCCCTTGCAGCATTCACAGAGGGCACAGAGATCTTAGTAAAGTAAGCTTTTAGTCGAACGTAAGCCATCCGGACATGTTCCCATGTCAGTAGTGCATGGTTTGCTTGTTCCGGGAAGGAAATAGCCACACCGTGTCTACTTAAAGAGCATAGTGGGCCACTGTGATATAGGGTGAGGAAGAATTCGATTCCCGGGAGTTTTCTTTCAGCATTTAAATGCAAAATATGAGTCGTATATTTTGTGTATGAGACCAATGACAGTTACTGTGAGAAACGTGGTAGCGTGAGATAGCATATTTTTGCAGTATTCCAGTCAAAAGGGTATAGTAACTGAAAATAAATTGTGTGAGTTCAACAAGTCAGTCAAATTGACGAAAACAAACCTTAAAACGCGTTGGGCTCGATAAATTTTTGTTATTTATTTATGTGCGCACATCAATCCACGCGCCCGAGACCGATTACCGGACAGCTTATTTACGGCAATACGATTGTACCTGCTTGTAGCGGCCTGTTCGCAAATCTCGGACAATTCGCGGAAATCAGGGCTTGTACAGTAAAATTTTGAATTTAGTACTATAGCTTATGTGATGAAGTAATTATGCAATTGCGTCCGTTAGATCATAAAACCATTTAGATTAATCCCCGTTTGAAAAAAACTTTGCTTTATCCCCCAATCCTGAGAAGCCCCTTCAGAAAGTTGGAAATTACTCTTTCCGAAAACTTTGCACTGGTTCTGACTTATATAACCTGACGCCACTTTTGCTGATGCCTCTTGCTGCAGAAACGAAATGATTGAATTTATAATTCGTGTGTCAGAGCCCCGAGCGGGTGCGTTGATTTATTCTTAACTGAGGACGACATAAAAGCCAATGGTTGTATTTTAATTGAATTATTCTCTGAGGATACCTATTACGATCTACATTAAGGCCGAAAGGAATTGAAAGTCTGAAGATATTTTCTGTTTACAAAAGTGACGGCGTCTGGTAAATTCCGTCAAAAACCTATGTCGTGCCCGCTAGCAGATCCAGGTGTGATTAACTTCACGGCGTATGGTGAGTCTCATAGCTCAACGGTAGAGCGTTGCCTGCGCAAATGCCTTCCCTGCTGTGTGAATTCAACTCCCACTGAGGCCGCGAATTTTTCAAAATTGGGTAAACTGAACGGACAGGAAGCATTTGGGACCGCATTGGTTACTTTTTGTAATAGACTTATTTTTTAATGTGCATCGACTTCACGCACAATATAACATGTGTCGAGTCTGTGTCAAAAAGGCTAAATAGTGGCAGGTTCTTATTGCCTATCTGTTAATGAACTTGCTCTGTTTGCTGGCAGTCTGAACATCAAAGATAAACGGTGTATGATCTTCGATTTTTAAATTCGTCTGCTTTACAACCATTTTAACGTGCCATTTGTGTCAACAGATACATACTTGAACATTGGATCAAAACATGTCCACATTTAGAATATAGTCACCTATTGGTAGAATAGATCCCTCGAGCCTTAACTAGACACAGATCGACATAGTGCCTACAAGCTTACCAAGCGTTGCATACAGGAAGGCTTAACTAATCAAATTTAAGTTCGCACGCACGCTCAAACCACCCAAATAATGTCCTCAAGCTGGTTGATTAGTATTTGCAGTCCCATGTTAAAAGCGATTTGAGAATGCAAGCCTAAACATTCACCGAAATGTCTCCCTTTCTTCGATCTCAAAGAACCGTCGCGTCCCCAGCAGCCAGTCTAGAAACTGCAATGTTGACCGTCTCTGCACACCTGGTCTCCGGTCTTCTTCTCCTATGCTGCCTCCAGGCCGCATTCGCCGTGCCTAAGACAATACAAGGCGTGAGCGATGTCCGACGAAAGAAAACTGATTGGTCCATGACGAACACACCTCACCAGAAAATTCATCTCGATCCAGACACTCGCCTGGATCTGAGTAGTACAATTGATGCTGAAGCCGAAAAAGAGGCCTACAACAGGTAATTTGGTGTTCCTCATGTCAGCTGCTAATAAGCTGATAAGGTTTGATTTGACTGCAAAGAATGTTGAGCACACAGTGGCGGCCTCAAGTAATTGTCTGGTTGATTTGTTTGCCTACTTTGGAGAGTGGTGTACGTACAAGAACCAAATGCACAAGCGACTTACCTGATAGGGCTGGCTGTGAGGGAGGCTCTATATGGACAGCAGGTTAACGTGCCGCCTAGATCGAAGTCTGTGTAAATGTGAGTTGGATGTCCAAACTGAAAGATATCTGCTGCCTGTTTCAACTTCGGTGATGGCAAGTGGCATGCGTATGCCCCTTCGTTTCAGTTATATGCAAAAACGAACAAATGCTGCGTACATATTACATAAACAGGTGCACTTTCAGTAGACGCATTAGTAGTGTTTGAAGGCAAATCCGTTTGTTAAAACTAGTCTAATTTGATCGAAAATTAAATCATGAAATCTATCTTTCTCATAGTCCTATACGCAATAGGAAAACTTTGCTACATTTTTTACTAAATCCTTGGTGCAAGTGATTTATACATAATTGTTTATACGTTCCGAGTATATGCACGTTTTTGGCACTCGATACTTCAGCCGTAATTAGCTTTTTACTTCTCATTCATAGAATGGAAACACTTCCGTCAAGTAATGTGCCTGTTTATTGTCATGTTTACCCTCCTCTGAACCCTTTCCATATATAGACAACAATCGGCACGGTCACCACGAAATCTACTTCAGAATGAAACAAGAGCAAACAACTTGGCACAGGACTCGACTTCGCCGTCTAAGAATACAGGGTGTCCCGAAAAATGTATACACTTCTTAACTAATTGTAAACTTGGCCTTTATTATAAATTCATTATTTCGAAAATCTAAAATATTTATAACAATAACTTTATTCTTTTTTCACTGTATTTTGACTTTTGCAACAGTGGCTGAATTGAGATAAGCCATTGAAAATGAATACACCCGAGTACCAAGTGAATTTTTTCATGGTGTGTGCGATTCCATTCCTTCGCGTTGTCAACATTGTCATGATCAAAGTGGACGTCAGTTTGAAAACAATAAGTGGGAGAAACAATAAAATTATACTTGTAAATATTCTTACATTTTTGAAACAGTCAAATTGTGATAAACATCAATTTTACAATTATGTAAAATGTCCGAAGAAGAAGAAGAAGCGATCACTGGAACAAGAGTTTTATCGTCCTGAGTTTTATTGTCCTGTGTATTGTCCTGCGTATACATTTTTTTTGGGACACCCTGTATATTCGATGCCCATGGTGCCACTGGGTGGAAGCCGAAGCGTCGGAGCCGACGGGCAGCCACGTCGGCCAAATGGCGCCTGTGGCCATCTGGCCTCTTTCCGTATGAAATAGAGCCACAGTCTTCCAGTGAGTGCCTTAATTGTTTTCCCTAACTTGGCCCAACAAAGCTTTTTATTAAGAAGGAATCGAAGAAGTCGAGTAACAGTGTTGAAGTTTTAAACCTTAAGACTGTAGCATGCATCCACCACTAAACATGGCTACCTAAGCAGTGTGCAATTTAGCACTGGCTTTCGGGGCATTCACATATATTTTGAAGGGTATTTGCATAAGCATATAATTGCTCTAAATTATTTGATAAAAATGACGCCATTAGTGATCTTCGTACATTAACAAAACCGTTATATGTTGCTTTGTAAACCCATTTTGGCCCTCGAATAATTTTTTATCCGATTCTTATTTAAACTTTTGCTTTGCGATTAAAACGACATGATTTATATTCGTCTTTTAAGCTCTCAAAGGGGTGACATTTGAACGTGTTTATATGTGAAATGAATTTGGATTAAATATTTCATATCATATACAGCAATAATAAATGGGTAGACACAATGTTGTTTACATGCACAGTGTGCAGTCTTCGACAAGCTTTTTTTAAATTTACCCGAACATAAATGATGCGATTTGGCTGAAAATGAAAGAACTTGTTTTTTTCTTCATATTGGAGTATTTTTCACAATAGTGGATTATTTCCAGGCTCTGTTCTACGCTTGCAAATACAAAAAAGAGTCGGCGCATTTCTCTTAAGATATCACAATAACTATAAATGTTCTGTCTGTTCCGTTTCTACATTACGCATACGCGGAAATTATAGTGTACAAAAAAGTATATTTCCACATGATTTAGATTCAATAAGAATCTGGTTTTACCTTCACTTTTAAGATAATATATATGAAGTTTTGGCTAAGTTCCGAAAAGTTGATGCGGTCGAAACTTTCTTGTTACATTATTTAGTGGCAAAAACTTCACGGTTTACCAAAAAAATAAATCTGTGATTTTTCATTGTTTTTGAGAATAAATAAGATTCCTTAAACTTGGTTTTACTTGCATGTCAGCAACTTCGAAGTTAATTTTCCGGTGTAGGAAAGGAATGTTTTTAAATTTTCCTTACTTATTTTGGACTTCTCCTATAGCATAATGCATATTAATAAAAACTTTTGTTTTATCTTACTTAATAGCATAGAAAATTTCTTCGATATCGGACCACTCTCAATATATCCAAAAGTAAAGCGCATTACCCTTAATAAACTAAAATAAAGGAAAACTATTCCTAACTTAAAGCCTTTCTCGAGGTTAAATCCACTCATAGGATTAAAATAATGTAGTCAAAAAATATATGCAAAGGAGCAAGTCCAATTTACTTAGGACTTTTGCGTGCGGCCTTCGCCATACTGCATTATTATTAGGAGGGGTTTGGCAGATTTGAGTAATTCAATTGAGCCAATTGTGTTCTCGATGTGCTTCGAACCCACATCAGCAGGGAAGTACTTAGTACAACCAACACTCTCTGAGGTGAGCTACGAATTTACGCCTTCTCTGGTGATGTGGGTTCGAGTCCCACCGAGGGCACGAATATTTCACAATTGGATCAATCGCATTATTCAAATTTTCAAATCCACTTCTTATGATTAAGTTACCCTGTATTTATTTAGATGGATTCTATATAATTTCTTAGTAAATTATGCATGGGCAGTCAGCTTATTGTATCCGTATTGATGGATTCCATACGTGCAGTTGGCTGGGTGGATAAATTGACCCAACTGTGATTAAATTCACGGCTCTTGATTTGCCTTCGTAGTTCATTTGGTAGATCTTTGGCTGCGCAAAAGCCTTCCCTGCTGATATGGTTCGAATCCCACTGGGGCCACGAAGTTTTCACAATTTGGTCGATTGAATGTATGAACTAAGAACAGAAAAACGTTAGTACGGACATTTAACAAAAAATAGAGATACGCTTTATTTTGTGAATATAATTCCAGAAATATGAAATGGAATGAAGATGGCAACAAGGGATAGAGTACATTCAACTCTTGTATCTGGAGTGAGGGATGTCCGTAGGGTACAATGTCTCATAAGTGCACAGTCAGTCTCCACCTAAAAGGTACGAGAAAGATCCATACCAGAACCTTCAAATTTCAAAATACCGCCCTGCTTAGTGTGACAGTGAATTTCTCAAAAAGATATCTCCTAGCATTTCAGTGGTTTAAAACACTCAAATGTTAAAGTATTCATGCTAACTAGGAACAGTCCAACCATTTCAAACGATCGCTCTTCTTCTCAGCACAACATTTGCTTACAAGTAAATATGCGGGAAATTGAAAGTTGAGCCTTACTGGCAAGGACAAGGGATAC